ACATAATCGCATTTTGATTATATCCATATTATAAACTTACAAGCAGACTGATTAGTACACAAGAGCTTATGATCAAGGTCGATTATTTTCAGCGTAGCTCTGAAGAACCATTATGAGGGAGTTTAGCTGCTGCAGAGAGCTACTATATTGTTCCAAAGTAAAGAAAGCTGCCTTTCTTGTCCCGATGAACTACACACAGAAGCTTCAGCACAATGCTGGCAATCTACAGTGGAAATATGGTGTTTCTGCAGGCCTGTGTGGAGTGTAGAAAGCTGGTGTTTGATTTTGAAAAGCTGCTGCTGTGGGTAGGTGACAGCTCGTGTCTCCCAGATCCGGTCTCCGTGGAAACAGCAGTCTGGAATGTGTGGAAATGCAAAAGAAAGTGTTAACATTTCCGTTGTGGAAGGGGAAGATTTGGGGATGAACAAAGGCAAGGATTATCTCAGCACATCCTACAATAGCACTATACACACAGCCTCTGCAAACGGGTCTGCCACGGGGTGCTTTGGATCACAGAACAAAGACAGGGTCTCCCACCCATCCATGCTGATCCTGTGTCAGAGTTAGCTAATAAGGACTACAATACCCAGCTGCCAGTAGCAAACCAACCAGGGACCTGGAATTAAGGGTCATTATTTCTCCTGATTATGGACTTAAACATTGTTCGTCCACTCTGAAGAGGAGAGCCCATTCTTATTATCACTGTCCTCCTCACAGTACTTTGTTACTGGGACTTGAAATGGGATGTTCTGTCCTTTCAGGAGTGTTTAATAATGCAAGCAATGAAAACATGCCATACGTTTTCAAGCTATTTCCCATTTCACCCTACGTTAATGACGAGGCCTGTGCTCTGTGAAGTCAATTAAACTGTTTTGAAGTTGATTTGTGACCGTGTTGTTGGAATTATTATGGTTCTAGAGGAGGGAGAAGTTTGAGGGCAGTAAACTGTGACAGATGGAGAGAAATGGAGTACAGCATATGATGGCAGGATAAAACAGCCAAGCGAAGGGGAGAGATAAAAGGATGGTGAGAGAATAAAGGTGGTGGCGATGGCTGTAGGGATGACTGCAGCGGCGAGGGTGCGAGGCGAAGTGAGTTTGTCTGTGATGCTTTAAAATTCTGGAGTGGAAAGTCCCTCCATCTGTTATTGTGGGACGGTTCTGACTCAGTGATTTCTATGATTGGCCTTAATCCCAGCCGAGTGGAGAAGACAGAATGAAGAGCTTAAAGCAGACTGCTCCCACTCTGACAGGCTCCACTGGCTGCTGCTGCTGCTGCTGCTGCTGCTGCTGCTGGGGCTCACTGGTACGCTCAGCCTGCTGCCCCCTAATGGATTAACTGCTGCATGACACTGCACTTTCTGCACTACTACAGCACATTGAGCTGCTCTTAAGGCCATGACACAGTGGTGACTGTTTGATGTACCATGAATTTGTTAGCAGTTATGAAACACAGCAGTTTTCACTCAGCTTTTAATGCTCCTTTTCGATGTCTGTGATGATTATTACAAATGTTTCATGGCCTCTGTCTCTGGGTAAACATGCCATTGCTTATCTTAATCTTCCTGATCCTGTGTGTGTTAGTAGGTATAGGGAAGATTTAGTTTCTAGTAATGCTGCGTCTGGATATTTAAAACAATGTGGGAATGACCCTTAAAAAAGGTGTTCTATATTTAGACGCCGTTTTGCAAAGAGCTTAGTGGCTTACCATTATGATTGTCCCTGCCACGCATCCGCCAAGCGTTGAGAAATTTACCAAGGGTTTTCCCTCGCAGTGGTAGTGTCTCTGAGAAGGTTAAGTGACCTCAGCAGAGTCATTTCACAGTCTTTTGGTCCCCAAGGTGACTTAAGTGTTCCCAGAAACTGAGCTGAGGGGGTCGTTTGGAACATGTTGAGTACCTCGATTCAAGGCTGCAATCACACGTACAGACTGTGTCGTGTTTTCTCAAGTGCCCTCTCACCGAAACACACACATTGTAGGGCTGTTTTTGAGGGTCCCTCCAGATCACACAGACGACAATGTGCTGCGTGGAGTGCCCTTTAAGTTAATGCTCAGTGGAAGGGCCTAACAGGCTGCGGCAATCACACAGGCGGCCCGGGTGTCGAGTTGACGCTCACCACAGCATGACGCTGTCCGTCTCTGGTGTGCTGTCATTAAACTGCTCCCCTCTGTAACAGAGCAAACTGAACAGTTATGAATATTAAAGATCCTAATTGCGTCATGCAGAGCACTGTCTTCTTGCTCCGCGCCTTCACAGTGAGGGTTGGGACAGCAGAGACATCACCAAGCTGCGCAGCTTGCTTGTTGGCGGTTTGTGCAACTACACTCTCACCTGCACCATTATGTGCAGCGTTTGCATACATGACAGACTCCACTGTGTGTTATTTAAGGTTGGAGACCTTGTGGAGGCACTTCACATGCCACTATCCATTACAGAGTGTGTTTATGGTTCTTGACCTTGCCGGAAGGCTCGGTGACAAATGGCCCAACATGTGATGCATTTTGTGTCAAGGTTACAATGACAATGACATTAGAGGGCTGTGCTCATGTTGTCGACTCTTCTGGCGTCTTTGTGCCTGTATGCTGTAGTGTTATTTGCTGTGTTGTGTGGGCCTGTACTGAGCTTATCTGTGCTGTACTGTGCTGATCTCACTATGCTCATCCAGTGCTCTAAGCTGCTTGGGCTCCAGCCACCAGCATAGATGATATATCCCTGCCCCCCTCCTTCCCACATCTCTCACTCTGATTCATTGGCTGTTTGTGTTGCCCATCCATCTGGGCCAACACAGAGGAAGGAAAGACACATGAAGACACATGGCTGTTTTGGAGCAGGGGGGACTGCATTAAGCTGCTGGGGAAGAGATAGGGTCCCAGAGAAATGTCTGCCTACATGGGGGTGGAAAAATACCAAGGGAGAGGGTGCTGGAGAAACAGAAGTGAAAGAAAATGTTTGCGGGATACTCAAAGGGAAAAAAATGGATTTTCTAAAGGGACAAAGTAGAGATTCTCACTGACAGATAAAACGCTGAGAAAAAGACTCAGGCCAAGGGGGTGAAAGGGTAGCTAGATCAAAGATCATGACGGGGAGGGGGACAGTTCTGCAAATGCAACTTATTTGTTTTATATCCTCAAAAAGAACTTTGCTTAATAATAAAGAACATTGCATATGCACAGAGAGTGAAACGTTTTCAGGCTAAGCGGGAAATGCAGATAGATTTTTATTCAGCTGCTCAGTGCTTATCCGTAATTGAAAAATGTATAGTTTCACGTCTTTCATGTATAGTGGCTTTTGTAATGGACTCCTACGTAATAATTTCAATGGGCTAATTAGATCCACATTCCATTGTTTCAGTTGCCTATTGTCTCATTAGGAAATAAATGATATTGTATCATTATTATTTAAAACTTGTTCAGGTGATTAAAGGCACAATGCAAAAGCATAGGGACACAGAGGACTCAAAATTATCCAGATTTTATGTTATTATGTGTCACAAATTCGGCTTGTGATTTACTACTAAACTATTATGGTCTACCGACGTCCCTTTACGACACCTGTAAGAGTGAGAACTGATATTCTGGTGTGTATGTTTAGAGGAGGTGGAGCAGTATTGTGGCTGTGTGGTCTGCTGCTGAGATGAGGTGGGCGGGGTCCTCATAGAAAATAGGGCAGCTCTTACTATAATGAGAGTTTATGTCTTGTGTGTTTTTGGTAGATAAAAAGCCTCCTGTGGTAGGGGACTGGTTCCTTCAGTGTGGCTCCACAAATGAATTAGGGGTCTAAATAGTAATTGCATAGCCCTGGGACCTTTACGGCTGATCACACTATTCTGGGACAAGAACAAGATCGCCCCCTAGAGGCTTGGAGAAACCTAGATACTGTGGCACAAGAAGGGGGGACGTAGAGAGGGAGAGAGACGGCTTCACCATATTTGCCACTTGGATGACTTCCTTTATGAGAAGCCTACATACAGTAAGCTTCTTCAGAGATAAGCCTGAGCTACATCATTGTAAATGATGTTAGACTATTAAATTCAGTGGGAAGTGATGTCTGATACTGGTTTGAGTTGAGAATATTAAGTTTCATGTTACATATAATTCAGAACAAGATAGACACAAAAATAACAGTACCTCTGAAATTTCACTCAAACTAAACTTTTTATTGACATTATTTACATATGCTCTGTAAATTAGATGTCATGTCTCCTCTGTGTGTGGGAAAAAAAGCATACAAAAGAAAGAAATTCATGGTCTCATGAAGGCACCCCTTGTCTGTGCATACATTACTAAATTTGGTGTTTGTTATCTGTCTATGTAGATGGAGCTGTGCTTGGTGCATATTGTTAAAAAATTAAAATGTGTATGTGTATATCAGTTTTATAAAAAGATTTGATGTGCATAGTAATTATTCTGTACAAGTCATGGTGCGCAGACATTTCGATTGCCACCATATAGTCAATCAAACCATGTATTGGGGAAAAAAATGTGTATTTGCACGTGACTGTGTGACACAGCACCTACAGCCGTGACTTTTGAATCACAGCAAACATTACCTTTATAGCTAGGCTGCTTCCTATCTACAAGCATGGATAAATATCTTGTTGGCAAACAAACTACCACCAGGGAAAAGTGCACAAAGCTTAAAAACTAACCTGCAAATGTCAAGATCAGTCAGTATGGATTTTGGCTGGATCTACCCCGCTTTGGCTTGTTACTAGCAAGTTTGCTTACATTGTGTCTCATACCCTCAGCCAGCTCAGCTGTCAGACAAATACACATACAGTCACCTCAGCAATATGTAACAACAGTTTAAGGAGAACGGTGTTGTTGGGTGTGGCGTTCCCTAATCCTCTGAATTATCCAGTTAATTTACAGCTGAACAAGGTCACGGTCCCGATTTTCCCATCTGTTTGTCTGTCTCTCTCTTAAACACACACACACACACAAATCAAAGTCCTATTGACTTCTGACACTCACACCGCTGTTTTTGTGTTTCCTTGTAGAAACTGGCCAGGGAAGCGGAGCAGCTACAGAAGGAGCATGTATGGCAAGACGGTGTGACGGTAAAGTAGGACACCTGCTCCTCTCCCTCCTTCTCCAAGACCTTCTTTCTTTTTTCCATTTCTTTTCCAGGCAAACTGGTTTATCTTCCTATCGTCTGCCCATTCCCATCTGTTTTCCAGTTCCCTCTCAATTTAGCTATTTTCTCCTATTTAACTCTTTAATGACAATGTGATCAGCATCACAGAGACAATGCGGTAAAAATACACAAACACAGTCCTACATGTATGCACACACACCATGATTGCTTACTTCTGAGGTTGATATTTTTTTCATGGTCGGTTTTCAGTTTTACCTAAGAGCCTTTGGCCCGTTTTGTTTCACAGGCCACAGTAAGTTGAACATTACATTCTCTCGCAGCTGCCCTTTCGAACAATAGAGATCCGCTCTTGAAATAAGTAGAAATGGTATTACTCTGGTTTGTGTGTTTGTGAGCCTGTGTGCTCCACTGACTCTCAAATTTGCAAACACTTAAACACCCCACAAACATGCATGCTTACTGATACACACACACACACACACACACACACACACACACACACACACACACACACACACACACACACACACACACATATATATAACCTCAACTGACAGACACACATGCACATTCCCTACTGTCATATCCTCTGTCTCCAGGGAGACGAGCTCGCTGTCATGGTACACTTCACGCAAATGGATTTTTAACCCAGCGCCTCCTGGGGGATATTTGAGAAAAGGCTTTAACTGATTTAAAACGAATAATTATGAACCCTACTTCCCTGCAAAGTCCATTTTTATTCATGGTTGCTTACACTCTGAAGCTGTAGTCTTGGGGTGGCTGGGCTGCACCCCTCCCCGCTGGTCCAAGGGAGGGAGCTGCAGTGCGCCTGTCTCTTCATCTTAGGCCTGAGGGAGGTTGATGCCTGCCTCTCCCTGCCTGGCTCTCATGCCCCTCAGTCGGATGTGTAGCCATGCAGGAAGTGGAGCCTGGGTCACAGTGGCCACACACAGCACACCTGTTCATAAGTAGCTGCATCCAATATGGCATCAATACCTCCTCAAGTGGAAAAGCCAGCACTCTCTTTTAATCCACCCCGCCCCTGCCAAAAGTCCTCTTCTCTCCCTCTCCTTTCTGTCTTTTTATTTTTCTCTTCCTGTTTCTGTCTCTCCGTCCAGTCACGAATCTTTTACCCACCGTTACCTGCCGCAGCTCCATCACATTAATTTTTTGTTATCTGTATGTGTCTTTAATCAGGCATGAAAACAGTTGGAATATATCATATTGTTGCAAATACTGCGAAGGAATCCTAATAGTGCTCCTTTATTAATATTGTATTGGAGCTGATTTCATTTGCCTTTATAATCAGGCCAGGTAATGAATCTCAGCAGGGGCGACTGTGAAACCATTAAAATAAAATCTCACAAAGAGGAAGGGTAGCGGTGTGTGTGTGTGTGTGTGTGTGTGGGGGGGGGGGGGGGGGGGGGGTTGATATGGCAGATCCTTGCAAGAAGATTTTTGCTGTTTGTAGATTTTTTGCTTTCCTAATTTCTCTTTGGGTGAACACTCTGCTGACTGACACTCTAATTAGATTAGGGCTGCATGCTCTTTGGGCATATTAGGAGAAATGCGGCGCATCTTAAACTAGCGGGCGGAGCAGTCTGTCAAATGAAGAGAAAAGGTGTTTATGCATGAGAGACGGTGCGTTTTGATAGAATTTGTGAGTGTGTGAGTGTCAGTGTGTGCGCTCCAGTGTGGGGTTGCAACAGCATAATGTGGCTGTTTGCGTTTGCCGGCGAGCGGGTATTTATTTGGATGTGTTTATTAACGGGAAGTTCTGTACCTGGCCCGGCCCATCTGCTCACCTCGCCAAACTGGTGACATCATAGAAACTCAATGATACGTCTGTTCCTCATAGCGGCTGCCATAGCAGCTGTTACTGTAGCAATGGGAAGACCTGACTCTCTCTCTCTGTCTCACACACACACTCAAGCGTTTTCCTGGTCCAACTGCAGAGCCAGTTTTCTGACCATCCTGACTGCTGGACATTATGGGTGTCAAAGTGTTGATCGTAACAACTGTTGTCTTGGTCGTTCAGGGTTTTAAATCCATTGGAATGAAATGGTGTGTGAAATAGATATTAAAGTGTTGGATTGGTTGGTGTCACTGATTTCTCAAGGTCAGGTGCCCATCCCTCTGTGGCACTCGACTATTGTGCTTGCAACAGAGTCATCCCAAGGCGGCACAGTCATTCTCATAGGGACGAGGGAGAACCAGCAACTTCAGAGCCGCATATCAAAAAGTTTTGTAAACTGAAAATTGGCAGTCAGAAAATAAAGCTCTTTGAGAACTTTCCAGATAGCGTCAGCATATCACTTATTTCTAATTGTTCTATTTCAGAATCAGGTTATGACACAATCCTACATCTTTGACCTGGTAACCGAAAAGAAAGCAGAAGTGCATGTCTGTGTGTGATATTATTACCTGGTTGCCAGGTCAAAATGTTTTTCTGCTTTTAATAGTTTTTCTCCCACAACACCACTGAACACCCATGTTAGCGATTTCTTAAGCTGACGGTAAAAATATATTAAATGATTGTGTTATTGTCCCTCTGCATATTGAATGCACGCATGCACTTATCTTCAAGTAACGCATATTGACCAATATCTTATTCTCTTTAAAAAAGACCACAAAAATGACAAAAAGGCAGCACAAAATTCTTACTCAAACAAGGCCTTTGTCACTGGTTACCAATAACAAATACAGTACTGATAGTACAAATATGTTACTTCCCTTATATACTGAATAAATCCCACACAGAGGCTGGTTAAGTATTGAAATCTAAATTCTGCTTCTCTGCCACAGTCTATGACTACTAAATTCTCATAAATTAGCCAATGTTAAGCCAACTGCTGTTTATTTTTGTGGATATCACTTTTCTTTCATTATAATAATAATTAATGTTGGTGGATATTCATGGCAAGGCCTGTTAAATATGCTAGGTTTTCAGTAAATAGTTTGGTGGTAGAGACAATGTGGAGAAAGTAACACCAGATTTGGCTTGTGCACCATATGCCACCAGTGATATTGCCAGCTGGAACCGTCTTATTGTGTATTGCAAGCTGTTCTAACATTAATTACAATGATTTAATATATTGTGACAAATTAGTATTTTAAGCTAAAGTCTATAAATCTAAATCTAAATCTCCAATGTGTGCTCAAGATATTATATTATAAAATGGCTTAATGACATCTGTAATAATTTAATGTAGATACAGTATCTTAAAAGGAATTCTACCCAGTAAAGATATCTTTGGAGATATCTCGAGTTATTGCCCAGACTGATGACAGTATAATTGTGACTCCATTATGCATTTGCTATGGATTGTGTATGTTAAAGTGGGTTGCCATGCATTGTTAGGACCCTTCTTAAAGTGATAGTTGAGGTGTTTTCTGCCCAGACTTGTCCTAAAGAACTCGCAGATGCTTCTTTTGTATCCCTGCATGCAGTTTGAATGTATGATAAATGCTGATCTTGGCCTAGCTTAGCTAAGGTCATGCATGTGTATGGATTCATGACTGGTGCTGAGGGTTTAACACTTTGTAATGGTTTGTAATGGTTAGGTACGGTTGACAAATCTTTAGGACAAACAATATCCTGACGATTACATAATCAATATGAATACTCCTCCCTCTGTGGGAACATGTAGGCTACCGTATTCAACAACTATTATGCTTTTTTATAGCAATCAAAATAGTTTAATTAGTGAAATTAGAGTCTCCAGCATTATGTGAGTTTACAAAATCTAGTTTGTTTTGAATGAACATCTGTCTTTGGAAAACTTAAAAACACCTATAATCATTTTTATTTTATTTTTTTATATAAAATCAACAGATTATATGATTTATTTGAAAGTTGCTAGTCATGAGCCCACAGAGTATAATCACTCAAATCTACTGTTGCTTTATAGACTCTTTGTGATGTTATCAGCAATATATTATCAGCTACATTATCATCAATCAGTTGTTAACCAACTCATCTCACATCATATACTGGCTACAGATGATGACCAGTGTTGCTTAGCTGAAGGCGGGTTGACACGTAGTGCAACACATTGGGACAGAGACACGAGATTGGATGAAAGAAAGGACGGAGATTGTGGAGATTGGTGGAAGACATGTACTTTCCATCAGATTGTGATGTGGCAGCTGCTGTACGTTTGAAATGCATTAGTGCTAATAGCTGTGCCATTAGGGGAGAGAGAGGCACTCTGTTGATGGGTTGCCATGATGAAACCATGGAGAGGGGGTGACAAAGAGAGCCATGGAGGGAGAGAGAGGTGTAAGTGAGAAAGCAAGTGACTGTGGGAAGAAGGTAAAAGAGACTGAGAAAACGGGAAACAGAGATGGAGCCATCTTCCAGGCCATTTACTGCAATCATCACTCTCTAATCAATCAAGCCTTTCATCATAGGACAACACAATCTCTTCTTCTCCCTCTGCCTCTTTCTCTCTTCATCTCCACTCAGCCACCCACTCTCATACATAACACAGTGGCATTGTGTGACGTCTGTTTTGCTCTTAACACGTGTGTGTTCATCTGTAACTTTACCTACAAATTCATATCCATACAGTACACAGCCTGCAGTGCCCAGATGCTAATAGTCTTTGCTGTTCTCGATCATGTTTTTCCAATCATTAGAATTAGAAACTGTAAATGTTCTCATGTAGTTTAGTGGAGAGCAACTTTAGCAACATTTAGCCAGTATTTCAGCCACATGTACTGCCCTAAAGTCACAATAGCTCCCCTCAGAGGTGTAACATGACCTTAAGCGCTAGGGGCACTAGCTAGAGTTGCGAGGGTTTGTTCACTTGACCAAGTTTGGCTCCTTTCATAATGCCTCTATTTGAGATAATTGGCCCTTCAGAGGAAATGAGTGAGAACCATTGTGGTGACTCTCAGCCCAGCCCTCGAAGCTACCAGCTCCATTAGCTACAGAATACATTAGTCTTATGTGGGGCT